ATTCAATATCAGTTTTAGGAACATTTTCACCATCAGCAACTTTGAGTGGAATATGGTCGCCTTGTTCGGTTGCTTTCCAAATTTCTATACATAGGCCTCTTAGAAATGTTCTCATTTTGATTCTCCAATAGTTGTAGTCATTTCCATCAAACTAAGGGGATCTATTGTTAGATTGACGTTCATTTCCATCAAACCAAGGGGATCTATTATTAGATTGACGTTCTTGATGAAAATTAGTATTGGCCATGATCGTTCTCTAAGATGATTAAATCTTTAGCTAAAGATTAGTCTCCGATACCAATTATTAAATGGCCAATTTTTGCAATTTATAAAAAGTGATTTCTAACTAACTATCATGCAATAATCAATTGAGATAAACAAGTAATTTATAGCACAAATATAAAAGAGATAGGGATAAAAAATTGTAAACAATGACTCGGTGATTTTAGCGAGGTTCGGAAACTCCTACTACTCGGCTCAAGATCTCTCTTGAGGCTTCCTCAATTCACTAGAGCTTCGCCTTAGCGGTGGAGAGCAAACCTTCACATAAAGCAAGCCCTTGCTTATTTTCCTTGCTAGGAGAACACCCTTCTCCTAGGCTTCTTTTGGGTCACACCAACCCTTACAAGTTTATAGCAATATAAATAAAATACAAGATTGCTTCTCTCTCAAAGAAAAGTTGTACAAATTCAGTTCACACTAGAGTAAATATATGAATCAAATAAAGCTCAAATCTCTATGATGATATGAGAGGATAAATGATATGAATGAATGCTCAAGGGAGGATATTTATGGCTCTTGAATGCTCTCTTGAATACTCTCTCAAGTGGTGTAAATATTTAGCAGACATATCCTCTGTATATATAGACTTTTGGAGCTCAATATAGTTGTTAGAGGTTGTTAGAGATCATTAAATGCAAAAATTCCCGTTAAGATTCAAATCAACCAGAGAGAGGCGGCTCTCTCTTTAAAGGGAGGCGACTCCCTTTGCCTTGTGAGGCAGCTCCATTCCTTATGGAGGCGGCTCCATTCCTCATGGAAGTGGCTCCCAAAAGTGGGAGGCGGCTCCCTACTTCGAAACTTGCTTCTTGTGCCAAAGTTCAGCTACTGGAAAGAAAAGAGCCTGCTCTACTTTTCATAGAGGCGGCTCCCTCACTGTGTATAACCTAAAATGGATTTAAATGTGTCATATACACTTCCTATCATGTGTAGCTCATGTGAGAATGTATATATGAAGTTCATGTGCAATCTTTAGGCTTTTGAAAACATAGTTAGAGTGAATATGCATGATCCTATAATTTTAAGCTTCAAAATGTATTCAAATATACTTTGACATTAAGTCTTAAACACTCACCATCCTATCTACCTTTTTCTTCATTCTTTGACCATGATCGTTTAGGCTTGATAAAGACTTACTTTCTTTCTTTAAAATGCTTGAATGATCATTGTCGTCCGATTTTCTTTGATTGGAAATGCTTTTGATTTCTTGCAACCTAAAGGCTTCCTTGTATTCATTGCTTAAAATACTTAGAATAGACTTTATAGCTCATCATTGAGGTTCACCTTTGAATATGAATCATCTATATATCACTCAATGAAAATATAAGTACTTAAACATCATTAATGATTTGTAATCATCAAAATAATTAGATTGTCCTTTAGTTAAAGTCTTTAAGGTCAACAAGCTTCACCTTGAAACTAGACGTTAGGAGGCATGATTCACATGTATTTGTCTATATTACACTTGCAAAACTTTTGAAACTTTAGGTTATACGCATACGTATTTCCTACGGAGTAATTCAAATTACTCACCCTAGTTGATCATTATTTTTCAGGCAATGAGGTACTCTTCTTGGATGCACATCATCCTTAGCTCAGATTTATGTTTACGTTTTGAACATCTTTTGTATGTTATTTGCATGCAAGTGTTAGCATGTCGTATGTATCTTTTGAGGTTGACAATGTGTAATATATTTAGAAGCTTGCCTACCTTCCTTTTGTATGCGCAATTTCCACCCAATCACTCTCTTTTGTGTAAACTTGACATGTATGTAATGAGGCCAAGGGCCAAGCACTTCCAATGTACGCAAATTATAGCACTTTGTAACAAATATTTATCTCTTTGGCATTTCATGCACTTGGGGGCATTTTGTCTTTTTATTTAACTTATCTTTCTTGGTATGGACCATGGTCGATAGGGATCTAAGGATCAATTTTGAGGGGGGGTTGCTTCACAAAAATTTTCCAAAAAATCTCATTTTTCCAAAGATTTTCAAAAATTTCAGGTTCAAGTGATCGTTCACAGATGTCTACGATCGATCACAAATGGGTGCGATCTATCACACCTGGGGTCATCTTGTATGTTTCATCGATTGTGCACTCTACGATCCTTAGTGTGATCCATCGCACCTGGACCTTCTTGGCACTTCATTGTTCGTACATTTTTATGATCGATCGTACCTGGGGCCTTTTTGGCAACTTCTTTTCCAAACTTTGAAACTCTATATCTCACTCGTTCTATCTCCAAATTAAGTGATTTCTGAGCCTAAGTTCATCAATTTTTCGTTAGTTATCCAATGGTATGCACCATAACATCCAGTTTGTCTTGAAATAACCATTTTACCCCTAGTTCCATTTTTTGTCGGTTTTAACCTTAGCTTCCGCATTCATTTTCTATTTGAATCTTGTGACTTCTTAGAAGGTCACTTTGTCGTCTTAAATGTGGTATCCATCTATAAATACCTCTTCTTTTTTGTTGTTTTCACTTTTTGGGACTTATTATTAGGTCAGTTTTCGGGTTCCTCGCTGACGCTCCGAGTTATGTAAATTCGGGCCGTCACACAAATTGAATCATTCGAAACATCTCCTAAGAATCAATCACACAAAAGACTCCAAAATGTGAAACAAGTCTCCAAAAAAACAACTTTAAAAAAACATCAAGCTCATTTAATGAATCAAACAAATCCTTAATGATGTGAACACAAGTCCCCAAAAAATGGCTTTACGAGGTTTCCTTCTTCTTTAATTTCCTCCCTTTGTGGGATTCCTTAATTTTAGGCACATCCTTAACTTGGTAAATTCGAATTAGGTGTGAGACATCCCTTGTCGACAAAATCAGCTCTTAATATTAATTCCCTTTTTTTTTTCCCAAAATATATTAATTCCCTTTTAACAAGGCCAGCATTGGACATGTGGCATTTGATTGCCACGTTTATTTTTCTGGTGGATCCTTCCATTCTAGATTTTAATTTCCCTCGACCTAGTCTTCAGTTCCATGTGGCAGCATCTGAGTGGTTCTATATTTCCAAGTTCAAGTTTCTGAGTGGAATTTCGTATAGCATAGTATCTCCCTTTCATCTTCAATTCCCTTCCAGCTTGCAGGTATAAGAATTCAGTGTAGCAAGTTCCCATAGAACTCGCCACGTGTTGTCTCCTCATTGGTTGAAATTGGTGGTATTAAGAGTGTGTGTGTGTGTGTGTGTGTGTGTGTGTTTGTGTGTGTGTGTGTGTGTTTACAAGACAATACAAAGAGTCAAAAAACTAGTAAGAAGGAAAAGCAGGCAAATCAACATCTTAGGCTTCTAAAACAAATTAAATGTGTAGACATATGTGGAACAGCACGCCATTGAGAGCGAAGATAGGCCGGTCTGTTGGTAAATCTTGGGGACCAATGTCTTCAACAATTATGCCAAATCAAACCCTTTTTTTTTAATACAACTCAGTTACATTACATTATAATGTAACTTTAACTTGAGTACAGCATTGAAAATGATCTTTCTTCCTAGTTCATAAGTCACTCTGGAAGAGACGAGAGGTCGAGATCATGGTGCAATAAGAAGATTTAGTCAAGACTATGCCAAAATCTGCCGATTTTGTAGCCCATTTTCTTCCGCCGTGTCGTCTTCGTCTTCATCTCATCGTCACCTTCGCCGTTGCCATCTTCGTCTACCGTCGCCCACTTTATCTATCCGTCATCACCGCCATTATCAAAGCAAGCTTTGACTAAATAGTGTACCTCCTGGAAGACGATGAATAGGAAGATGTGGCCAATTCCCACTCCTACCGTTTCTGTGTCCATCTTTGTGATCGTGTTTGTGGATGGGTGTTGGAAATAAAATAATACTCGCTGTCCCATATTAGATGAGACAAGTAATTTATTAGATGAGACAAGTAATTTACATTGTTCGGTTTAAAAATTATTATGGTATCATTTCGAGTTTAAAAGTATATATAATTAAATTTTTAAGGGCATTTTATGAAAAATGTAAAATATATTATTTGAACTTTTTAAAATTTAAACTCCGGTTTTAATTACTAAATAAAAATAATAATAAATTAAGCTGACAAGTATTTTGGTACATCCAAAAACAAAAGATTGCCAGCTAAATTGGGGAGTAATAAGTGGTCTGCATCTCTAAATTGATGGAGTGATGAACCATGGAGAGAGAGATTGGGTACGGGGTTGAAAAATAAAAAGGAGATCAATAATAAATTAGGAATGTGAAAAGCAAACAGAAGTGGTTTGGGTTCGTGCACATCTGTCTGGCAATGGCAATGAAAGAATTGCAAATTTGCAACTTTTTAAGAGAAATTTAACAGGAACTTACCGTGCTTGAGAGCTTAGCAAAGTAGTTACAACTCAATCAAAGATAATAAATTTCTTGGCAAATAGACAAGACCTAACGAATTGTATATCCCAGTGTAATGAGAAATTGTAGAGGATGAGAAAATGAAAGGTGAAACCTTCAAAAATCACATGGTTAGGGCGTAGAGGAAGTAGACACAACAACTTTATTTTTTAACACTGAAAAGGGTTAAAACTGGAATAATGTGTGCTGCATTAAAATGCCAAAACAGCCTCCTTCCTGTGTTCCCACTAGATTTGGCAGAAAGCTCTTCCAAATGTAGTATACAAATGGTTAGTACACCCTAATAATATTGATAGAAACCTTTTCTGGAAACTAATGACAAGGAAACAAAACACAATCAGGGATACAATATTTAAGGGTGAGAGGATGGTGAATTCATAATTAACATATAACATGTATATCAATTCTAAAGAGACAAAAGCAAGTTTTGGCCACAAGAAAAACAAGGACAGAATAAAAGGCCTAATCCATAACAACTGCAAACAGTTTCCCCACCAGATTGGGTCTTACAAATAGCTATTACATCAGAAACTACAGAGCACCACAAACGAAACTGCATCACCATCGATCTCCTCCATTCCGTCAAACATCAATTCTCAACGGTTGGCCTTAGCAACCCTCTCGATCTCATCTTTCTTTTTGATTGCATAGCTGCATATATGCAATAAAGTAGTCAAATCCGTAGCATAAGAACAAAACCATAAAGAAAAATCAATTTGATAAAAACTGGAAAGGAAAGGAAGAAACAGACTCGTGTTCCTTTTCCTACATTTTATCCATCTTTAGGAAGATAAAAGACTCTTTTCTCTTCCTCCACTTACTGCTCCAATCCGTTTGCTGATTTAGTGAGAGAAATGAAGGAAAGTGGCTTTCTCAAACTCTCTCACACCCTTAAATGAGGTTAGAAAGTAGAAGTTTCTCAGAAGTGGTTAGTGTCATTAGACATAAGGGAAAAGAATAGGCAAAAATGGTATACAAAATTTAAATAATTCTCCCTTAATCTCCCTTGTTTTTTTTCTCCTCCCTATTTTCTGTGTCTCCAATTGGTATGAGGCCTTTTGGGATAAAGCCCAAGAGTAAAACCGTGCGGGCTTAGTCCCAAAACGGACAATATCATACCATGTGGTGGAGTGGGACGTTACATTTTCCATGGTAACCAAACAAGTAAAAAGAATTTCATTTCAATTTTCTTTTATTTTTTTCACTAAAATCGCAAACAAAAGAAAGCCTAAATGTAAATGACGGTAGAGAATAATCTTTCCCCTCTTTTCCTTTCTTTTATACATTCCTTGCACTGTCATCCAAATGCGAAGGAAAAGACCTTATATAATGAGCCAAGTAGTAAAAACTTGTGCAGCCAGATAAACAAGAGGAGGTAGAGAAAATGTAGCCCTTCTTTACCTGTTAGAAGACCCCTTGGCAGCATTAATAAGTTCATCAGCAAGGCACTCAGCAATGGTCTTGATGTTCCTGAAAGCACTCTCACGAGCGCCAGTTGTAAGGAGATATATTGCCTGGTTAACACGTCGCAGAGGAGAAATATCAACAGCCTGACGCCTCACAACACCAGCAGAACCTATTCGAGTTGCATCTTCTCTCGGTCCACTACATTATAGAATAAATGAAATAAAATATTTGAGTAACATTCTCTCTCAATCCACTACATTAAAAAATACATAAAAAATAAACCATGTAACAGAGGAGACGACCAGACAAACATGCTTGAGAGAGTTATGATGACATCAGTGACGCTTTTAGAGAACCAACAAAATGCTCACAATTATTATTTCTTACCAGTTCCTAGATACAGTAGTATGATTACAAATTTTTAAATAAAATAAAAAAAAAAAAAAAAAAAAAAAGGTCACCTATGCCATCTCCATCATGTGTAAATACAAGAGGGAGCAAGAGAACAGACTGTCCTCTTGTGGAATTTCAAGTTACCACCCAAAAAACAAAATTAAATAAATAATGTATTTGCGAATATGCATACCTGTTGATTACAGCATCAACGATGACTTGAATGGGGTTTTGGTCAGTCAGAAGATGGATAATTTCCATAGCATGCTTAACTATGCGGACCGCCATCAGCTTCTTCCCATTGTTCCGCCCATGCATCATCAAAGAGTTGGTCAGCCTCTCCACAATCGGGCACTGGGCCTTCCTAAACCGTTTGACTGAGTATCTTCCAGCCGTATGAGGCATATATGTTGCATGCTTGGCAGGATTCACAGCAATGTAATCAGTTACGGAAATGTCACTAACCTGTAAAACATAGAAGATGATTTAAAAATTAAATTATGTGTTGGACATACATTTAGCAAGTGTAACCACATTTCAAGTTCATTACATAATTGTTGACATAGAACTCTCTAATTATAGTCTTTTTGTTCCATCAGTTACTCCAAAATCAGTGAAAAGTCCATATTAAAAACTCCAAATTATATAAACACTTCATTTTACCTTGAAGAATTAACAAATATGAATATCAAACCGTGTCTCCGAAGAAATATCTGATACATCATACATGTATCCAATCCCGTGTGCTAAGGGTATATAAAGGTGGTCACTAGCACAACTAACTATCTCCAAAATTCAACAGCCATCAATAACACATTCCTTATGATATATAACAGCCCACATTGCCCATTTACAGTGTCAGTATGACAAACTCAGTCCTATGTACTAATCCAAAGAAATCAAATAAATTACTCTTCAAGTACACAAAACACATCATCTCACACTGAACATATTATAATATTACAGACTATTGACCAAACAAAACACTAACTATAAATATATATACATGTATATATATTTTATTTTTGAAGATAGGAACGAAAACCTATAGAGTCACTGACTAAAAGCAAGACAGTGATATTTGCAAAACATAAATCAAAATAAAATCCCAATATTGATTCAATTAGAATCTACAAGAAACAACTCCATGTTATATAAACACGGTCTGATATTCATATTTGTTAATTCTTTCAAGGTAAAATGAGGTGTTTATATAACATGGAGTTTTTAATATGGGTTTTTCACTGATCCAAAATTCAACAGCCATCAAGAGCACATTCCTTATGATATATAACAGCCCACATTGCCCATTTACAGTGTCAGTATGACAAACTCAGTCCTATGTACTAATCCAAAGAAATCAAATAAATTATTCTAAAGTACACAAAACACATCATCTCATACTGAACATATTATAATATTACAGACTATTGACCAAACAAAACACTACCTATAAGTATAAACACATATATATATTATTTTTGAAGATAGGAACGAAAACTATAGAGTCACTGACTAAAAGCAAGACAGTGATATTTGCAAAACATAAATCAAAATAAAATCCCAGTATTGATTCAACTAGAATCTACAAGAAACTAATAAAAAGATTACTGCTATATAAAGGGCTGTATCAAGATTATGTAAGAAAGTGATCAACCTATAAAATATTTTTATAAGCAATATTCATAACTTCCATAGATGAAACATGAGATATTGATCGAAACCGAAACCACGGAGGCTAGGTCAGGGGGAAAACCAAATAAATAGATTGTTGGCACAGATATGTCACAAGGTAGTTGTATCCCCTATCAGACATCGATATTGAACATATAATTGCAAAGACATGTCCAAAACATGGTTATTAAATGCTCCAGGGCATAGATAGTTGACTCCACAAACCCTAATGAATTCCCATACCATTGACTTGTCATTACAAAAAAAAATGAACTTAGTAAAACTACAGTCATCTTTAACTAAAGAGACAAATTAGCAAAAAGACAGAAGGTGGTAAAATCTCTCCATTACAGAGCATGACTTCTTAAGCCAAAAAGAAAGCAAGAAATAGCATTTGAATCCAAAATACTTAATATGTTTAGAGAGCAAGACAAATAGATGGGAACACATGTCACACACACAGACTGGTTCGCAAACTGAAATCAGCAAAAATGGTAATACTGATACCAAAACAGATATGAAACGACAGTAAAATTAGTTGTTGGGAGTGAATCGAAGTCATAACTACAATAATAAAAACGATGCATCAGACTAAAGATAGATCTAGGTTAACAACGAAGAAGAATAATAATCAATTGCATGAGCAGAGGAGAGGTATGGTTAGGTGAAGTAGTACCTGAACGTCATCGAAGGACCATCGGTTGAAGAGCTTCACATCACTGTGAATCTGATTTTTTGGTTGCTGATTCTGATTGCTAGGCACAGGAGGAGCAACATCCGCCATTGTTACAACTCTTTTTCAGCTGCAAAATCAGTATACAGACACCATATATTTGTGAGTGATATATACATACACATGAGAGAGAGGTATAGAAATCGAATGACCAACAAACCTACCTTTGCTCGAACAAGTTATAGAATAGAACGAGAGAGTAATGGAGAGACTTGAGGCTGCTAGGTCGGAGCAGTCTTCCTCGAGATATGTATATAATTAACAAGACAAATAAAACCCTAGCTAGGGTTGGGTTTTGAGAGTCCACTCGGTTCTCCTCAAATTACTAATGTGCCCTCCTCGTTCTTAATTGATTTGTTTTATTTTATTTTTATGGATAAATTATATTGATACCCGTTCAGGTTTGATCAAATCGCGCATATGGGTTACCATTTTATCTAAACAAAGGTTTGAAATATCATTTATGCCCTCACTTATTTAATATATTTTAAGGTAAAATGCAAAAAACTCCCTGAACTATTGATTAATCTGCAACAAACCTCTTAAACTACAAAAATTGCAAGAAACCTCCTGAACTATACATTTTTTTTCTTTCAGATCACTCCATTCAGGTTGTATATCACCGTTAAATGCAACATGTGCATGCACGTGAACCACATTTTATACTAAAGGACCATAATGCCCTTATGTACCTTACAATAATGCCCTTTTAAACCCTGACCCAACCACCTTATAAACTACACACCCAAAAACTACTTAACATTGCTCCCCAATGCCTAACTCCTTTGAACCTGCATCCCAAACAAGGCAACCCAACCAAAGCATTATCAGGTTTTCATCACCAATTTCACAACTCCGAGTGCCTAGTTCATTCGGTAGTTTAGGGAATTTCACTATCTCTATGTATCAATTTTTGTATCGACATATCTTCTGGTGCTCAGCCATGGCAGCGTGCTTATTGCCACCACCATCACGTTAACTCCAATTGAACCACCACCTTCTCTATTGTCTTGGAAACTCAAATAATTCACAGCGTAAAACCTAATCGAACCCTACAAAACCACTGTCATCATCCCTCCTCCACTGCCATCACCCTAGCACATCCGCAACCACCATCAATGCCACCATAACATAAACCAATCCAACCACCAGCCCTCTCTCTATTGCCTGAAAACTCAAATAATTACCCAAAAGAACCCAGACCATAAACCCACTGCCATCATCCACCACTCCCGCCACCAACACCATCGCCACCTCATTGTCAATCAATAGCACTACTAATAATTAGAAACTCAAACCATTTTTACTGAACCATCATAAAATCCATCCCACTGCCAGCACCCACCACTTCCGCAATCACCATCATCTCCACCAAATGCTTAGTACCTGTTCTGCAACTTTTCCATCAATAATTACAGTCTCAAAATTTATAAGACCGTTCATCTTCAACCTTCTTCATGTGGCTGTGCATAAGAGATCCAAGGTTAAATCTTTGCAATCAACTACATGTAAAATGGGTGAATCGATCTGTGAACGAGTGAGGATCCATAGGTGCCATTAAAAGAATCAGTCTACGGAGTAAAAGTTAGAGTTGGGGTTTGGAGTTGCAGAGTAGACAAAGGAAAGAAAAGAATGCCAAATCCCTAATTCTTTATGTAATGACCCGGTCATTTTCATTTCTTTCCATTTCTTCAAATTTTGCGGATAAATTTTTTTCATTGTCTTTTCCTTTTCGGGTTCGATTTCCCACCTCTTAGTGTCGTCTCGAGTGCTCGGAAATGGTTTCTGAGACTCTTTCCTTTGGATTGACAACTTTCTTTGAGGACCAAATCATTTCCACATTCTTTTGTTTTTTGACACTATTCATTTTTTCGTCTTTTCCTTATTTCGTCCTCTTCTCGTTTTTCACTTTTACTTGCATAACCTCATTTTTTGTGCTCAAATTTGATTCCGATTTTGCATACGTCCATGATATTTAAATTCCATGACATCTACATTTTTACTTTTGTAGAAATGCATATTAAATACTTACTTTCTTTGTAAAAGTTATGAAAACAAGACTTTTTGTAATTATCCATAACTTGAGGGGTTTTTGGGTAATTAAGTAAAGTAATTATTTTTCGTCTTAGGGACCATTTTGCAAATTAATTTGGAAGATATTTTCAAAAAGGACCTTTTTGCAATTTTCAAAAAAATATGACAAGTGTCACATTCTTATGGTGCCACTTGTTGATTTTGTGGTGGAACCACTTGGAGGCTTAATCTCATGACACATGGAGGGTGGAGATTCATCCACTTATTGACCTAGGATTGGACTACTAGTTGGCTTGGATGGTTGACAAGTGTAGGCTTAGGATTAATTCTAGAAGGGAACCTTAGGACGATGATTAGTGTAGGGCTCACAATTAGTCTTGCATTTTGTGTGTGTGTTAACTATGGTGTAGGTTCACCTAGTGAGTGGAGGACCTCTAAATCCTCCACTCACATTTTATCTTTTTCATTTTCACATTATGCTACACATAAGAACCCTAGACTCCATTGAAGAAAGCTTAAAACCTTAAGCTTTGACTTTAAATTTTGAGGCCCTTCCACTCACCTTAGATCATTGACCTTGGAATACTTTTTGTTCCTCTCATCTTCTTCTACAAAACCATTGTTTGGTTTTTCATTTTTAAGCTTGCTTCCCTTGGATTCAAGAGGAACAATCCTCTTATGAGGTAGGGGGTGTTATCATTTATCTTCCAAGTGATTTTATTTGTTCCTATAGTGATATATAAGTTATATGCATGTCTTGTATTGAAATAAGAAATAAATGACTAATGCTAACTTGTATGAAATTCACTTTAGACTTGATAAATAACATGACCATGGCTTGATTCATAACTTATGTTATTTTGAGGTCATTTAGAGTTGTTTTAAAATCTAGAGGGATTAATGAATTAATTTAATTAATTTTTATTTATATGCACCTATGACTTAAATTAAGTTTTGAAGTGATTTATATAATAATCATGACATGTACTACAACATATATTAAATTTGGGGCATTTGGATAAAGAATTGCAAAATTTATTTAATATTTATCTTTTGTGAAAGTTTAATTCACATGGTGAAAGCAAGTATGAAATCATGATGTAATGTGATATTTGGATAGGCATTGGCATGTTCTCTAACAAAGATTAAATTGAGGGCATTTGGAATTGTTTAAAAATCTAGAGGAAATTAATTAATTAGCTTGATTAATTTTGTTTTAAGTGTTTTAATCACTTAAATTGTCATTTGATGTTATATATGTGATGACCATGACATGTCCTTCAATATATATTAAATTGAGGTTATTTGGGATTAACTTGGAATTTAGAGAATTTAACTATTTATGTTTAATTAAATTCTATTTTATTACTCCATGGATTTAATTGCATTTTGGAAGTTGTTTTTATATTTAAATCATGGATTTGGATTTGGTGTATGTTCACTCGATTACTTTTGAGTATTGGATAACATAGTTATTACTTTTATATTCATGAGAATATGTTTTTCCTTATTAAATATATTGTTGCTATGTGTAAGGAATTGCACACTTTGTATTTGACATCTTTCATGCCATAGTAGTTATAGACTTTGAGCATGTATTGTATAAGTTTCCAAAATTGGATTGTGCATGGTAAATAGTTGATATCTTGTATATACATGTTGATATATATACGTTGTTGCACAATTTGTTGATTTTGGAAACTTGGGGACGTCATTGTTTGGCTACGGCTAGGACTTGGTTCTAGTACGGGGGATTGTCCCTCTATATAGTCTAGTGCGCACATAGGGAGGTTACCCATGGGCTAGTAACCCTAAAGTAACCACATTGTCGGTTTGATCCAGCGTGACGTCCAAGTATCCACTTGGTTTGATTTCGCATTTAAATTCCAAGTTGTTAACTTTGTGAAATTACATCTCATTGTGTTATGTTGAAAGTTCTATTATCACTTGATAGCATGAATTAAATAGTATTGGATTGTAACTTGGTACAAAGATAAACCCATGCATTCCCTACAAGTAAACTTGTTTACTCACCCATAAGTTAATGGGTGTTTTGTAGGTAAAAAAGCCTTAGTGTGGGATGCACAACATTCTTAGACTTACTAGAGTTCTTGAAGTATTTTTGATGACATAGAATGTGTATATGTTAGCATATCTTGTCCTACTTTTGCTTACTTTGATAAAACTTGTACTTATTGTCTAAGTTATGTAATATGCACTTAAGTGCACCTTTTGACATTCTTAGAATGTGGTTGTAATGAGGCTAAGGGTCAAAGACACTTATGTGAAACGTATACTAACTTTGAACTTTATTGTTGCCTATAGAAGATATGTGGATTAATGCATTGAAGGGTTCTATTTTGCATATGACATGCCATGAGGCCATAGGCCATTGCAACACATCTATTTTATCACATTACATATGCTTGCATGCTCACTTTGGCAAACAACACCATCCTTGATGAAACAAAGACTCTAAGTAGCATTTTTAGGGAGTTTTACCCTATTCTGTTCCAGGGGCATTTTGGGTATTTCAAAATGCATTTTTTTCATTTTTCCTCCTGAGTCGTGTAGAAAACTCAATTTTGAGGGGGTTTTCTTCTTTGCGTTTTTCCAGAAAATGCCATCTTGGTCCTCAAAAATCTATTTTTTTCCGAAAAATCATTGCTGCCAGGTTTTTGCCGACTTTAGTGCAAATGTACTTGGTACTATTCATCGACTTTTTTTTGAAAAGTGTGATGACCGATCTGAAACTTCCAGGGATCTTGTGGGTGTATTTTAAGATTGAATTTTCAATTTAGGCAATTTAAAAACCTTCCAAAACCCCATTTCCTTTCTTTAGGCAGTAGCTAGAAACAAATTTCAACCTCTAGACCTGATTTTCTTGATGATATTTTGGGCATTTTACAATGCATTTTTTTGGTTTCCGTCTGCGAATCGGGTAGAAAAATTGATTTTAGGGGGGTTTCTTCTTTGAGTTTTTCCAAAAAAGTCCGTTTACTCTCAGTTGCAGCAGTAGTGGGTTGACGGTACTGTAGCTATCACGGCCTCTGTCGGGCCGCCGCGACGTCGATTTTGTTTTTGACTTTTCTCCCTCATCCGGACTCCAAATCAAGTGAATTTTTTTTTAAATTGATTAATTTTTCATTGTCTATCCAACAGTGTGCTCGGTTACACTCAAATATTTCTGGATAATTACCAGTTTACCCTTTAGCTTTATTGCTCGTTTTTCTTTGTTTTGTCGTTTCTCCTTCGTCCGG